GAAAATCTTCAGTTCGGGTAAATTTACGTTGTTTCTAGGAAAATTGCTGAGAGACGTGGTCTTGATTCTTCTGATCCAAGAAAAAAGTGCCTTTTTAATCACTGCTAGATTACTTAATGTACAAATGAAATGAAATTATGACTTTTTTCATGCTCAAAGTGCGCATTGAGAAGTACCAAAAGAGGAGGGAAAGTTGTTTGAGGCGCAGCTTTAGGCACCTCAAGCTTCTAAACATAACGTTTGTAATTGACTTTAAAGTTCTCAAACAGAAGGTTTTTGTTGCTTTTTCCCTTAGTTTCTTAGGCTTACTGGCTTTAAGTTCCTTCTGTCAACTGTTAGGAAATTAAAACAAGGTACTGGCAGCTAAAATAATCACGCGAAATAAGCCACAGTTGATAAGCAACTCCCCATGTCATGACATACGGGCACGTCTCCTTTTCTCTACAGATAATACCATGATGGGTAACTTGAAACTAGAGAAGATCAGCGTCTGTGCTATTTCGTACTTAAGCTCAGCTCTCGCTTTAAGACACTGTCTTAAACGCACAACATACAGCTCTCACAAATGGTAGTTTAACGTGGTTACAATACCACGATGACAGTTGCTTCGGACAAGGTGTTGACATGAAATGATATGGCTTGTCCACATCTTTGGGTCATAAAGCCGCTTTTAGTGGCTTGACCATTTCTGTAACCAAAAGTGGTACTTTTTGTGCCAAAGTCACCGCGAAATCCTTTGGTGAATAATCATCTCAGCCAAAAAAACCTAACTGAAGGACAAACGAAAGGGAAAATGGAGAGCATGCATGTCAGGGCGTTCCATTCATTCCTTTGATAACCCTTTTTTTCTCCCGCTTCCTATGCATCCCCATTATAAGCCATTTGTCTGTTATATCATCTTTGTCATTGAGCCGCACGCATGACGGCAAGCGGACTCTTTTCGTACCCAGGCCCGATCCTTATGTTCCACTCGTTCGTATCCGCCATTTTGTACCAGTGGTTTGTGTTGTCTTCGAAATCCGACTTTGTTCACAAATTAAACTGTCACCGCTTTTAAGCTATGTTCAGTTGTCACGCTTTCATCGTTGACTAGAGATTGTTTTGCAGATGATGGTGAAAGCACAGAGTAATTATAGCCATTAACATGTGTTCAAGTGGGTTTTTTGTCTCTGATTTTAGATTTAAGAATCATCTAGCAAACATTCTATACTCTCGACAGATAGACTTTAATGACAGTGAAAACTTAAAAGGTAGATTTTACTGTGAATGCATAGAAGAATGTTTTCGTCAACACTGTAATGATCACCAGAGGAGGAGACGCTTGAGTGAGTCTTCGTGTCAAAAGGGCTCAATTGTTCCGAAAGTTATTTCAAAGAGCAATGACTCATCGTTTGAAAAATTCCGTGTTGAATTGTTTTTAATCCACACTACAAGGAAAAGCCAGGGTTTTTCAAAGTTACCACTTTGAAAATCGCTGTCATAGGGCTCCTTTTCAGTGGGCAAATTACTGTGGACAGTGTGCCTAACCTTAGAAATGAAGACAAACTTTTAAATTCATGCTGCGTTGTGTGAAAGAGGTCCAAGAGAAGCTAGCAGCAGTAGATTTGTTCAAAGGAAAGAATTCTTCCTGTGGTTCTTTCTTGAAAGGCTAAAAAATGCGCATTCTTTACTTCTTTATCAAAGAAATAATAACATCATATGACCACCACGAACAACTAAACCCCAAAAACTAATTTACGTCATACTGGGCGGGCAAGCACAGCAATTAAGTTTTAAGACAGTCTAAGTTGCTTTATCACTTTTGGAACTATGAATACCTCTGGTCGCATTTTCAGATCCACGGGGCTTTATCTAGATATAGACTATTCTAGTTTCTAATTCATTTGTTAGATGTATGACGGAAAGTACCATTGATGCTAGATAAGAACTGAAGCATTTCCGCACTTTGAAGCAAAACATGTTTGTGTGTTCAAACCATATAAACATCGGTGACATTTTAGCATTTCTATTGTGTATCAGCCGTGCTGGATCAGCGTCTTTTTCGGATGATTGCTTTTAAAATGGCCTTTGAAGTGCTTACACGTGATAGACATTTCTTGCGCAGTGGATGCGGTTAAATAAGCTTGAGGGCAAATTATGATAATGATGAAAAATATACAGATCTCATTTACAAAGATATACGCTGATGAAATACTTGAAATTAAGCTGTTACCGTCATAAACTGAGATATAACAAAGAAAATGAAGTGTACAATGTAGGATTAACCCAGTGAACTGTTGGAAGTAAACCGTTTCATTCTCGCAAGGGAAAAACCCCTTCTTTTGTCTCTGCTAACATCAATCATTCGAAGACAGTTTCCAGACAGAAGGCGACTATTTTCAATTAAATTAGGATATATATAGAATTCAATGAGAATAGTTTTTTTCTAGAATATGCTGTTTTGACAATGCAAGGAATGAGTAGGAATGGGTAGGAATGATACATTTCAATGGGATACAACACGGAGTAGATGAAAATGAGCTGAAAATTCAGTGATTGTTTCGTCTCCCTCTTTAACTGATTACGTAGTTTATTTATATTGATCCATAAACTTAAATTAAATACCTCTAGGCTGTTTCCTAGAACTTGCTGCTATTTTCCACTAAATTAATGTAAGGTATAAGGTATGGTGACGTCATTTTTCAAAGAAGATAACACATGACAAGTTGCCTCGAACAAATAGTCGAAAGAAAACCCATAAAATTTGTTAATTTTTACAAAAAAATAATTAGATAGAAAATAAGTACTATTCTTGTCTATTGAAAAAATGCCATGGTAATTGGAATATGTAGCGTATAAATAATTGAGCTGTGTGATGATTAGTATGACAATCTAAATAATTTTTATAAGTAGAATAAGAGAGATAGTAAGTTTTGAGCTCGGTAAAGAAATAGAGAAAGGTGTTTTTTCGTCTTGTCACGAGCGTGGGACAAAGAAAAAATCTCTGAGACCATATGAGGAATCGAACCCCAGACTTTCGTATTCCGCGTTCCGATGCTTTACCACTGAGCCACAGAGACTCTCTGGTGAGCGAGGTCTATCACGAAGTACATATGACACGCGTCCTGCATACTGCCAGGATCAGCGATGTCGACAGCGTCATGTTGGTAAATAGATTTACGAACATGACGCTATGTTCCCTCATGGGAACTCTGAATTTTTTTCTTGGTCTCACACTTGTGACAAGTGTTCACGTCTGATAATATTAAGTTCTGAAGGCCCTTTCGAAAATTATCATGGCATTATCTCAGTATTAAAGTTAGATGTAAGCCGTTCTCCACCTGAAATGTTCAGAACCATGAGGTTTTTACCTCCTTCGTTTTCTAAAGCATAAAGTAAATTGTTGGCTTGTTTACTTGATTGAGTAGGAGACCGTTTAACGGTTTAATGAACTTCAGATAATTTTTCACGAGAGTCCTCATTGTATTCTTATTAAGGCTGGACCCTGGAGACAAAGCTGTTAAGTACGTCTTTGTCTCATTCCGCAAAAGTAACGACTTAGGTACAAGTTAAAATAAATAAAAGCTCTTTTTGGTACTAAAGTGTGACCGTCCTAAAGCTGTAGGCAGATTCCGTGAATGATATTTGAATTTCAAAATTGAATTCAGCAGCATGGGAAGCAAATGAAAGTACTGACGAGGAAAATCATGTGAAAAAATTAGAGGCATCTCTATATTTCAATAACTTTTCTAATCTCGTACCCAGATTCCACCGTGTTATGAAATGTGGGATCTTTACAACCGCTTGGCCGTAAAAGGTCTGGTAACGAGACTGTAATTGTTCAGTAATGTTAGCCGCGACGACCATTGATTACATGGCTTTCTTGATA